CTTTCCTTCTTCTCCTCCGTCTCTCCTCCTACGGTGGATTTCTGTTTCGTCAAACCATGCTTCATTCGCTTGTCTTTTTTGTTCTCTTTTTTTTTTCATTTTTTTTTGGTCAAACATGTCCTTTTTTCTCTCTCTAATAACTATGATGTGGATCATATTTAATCACCTTAATTAAGCAAATTCAAACATCTAATCACAAAGAGGTTACCACCCAAAAGGGCCAAAACCCACTCTAAACATCTCATCAATTGGTTAAATTGTGATTAAGAAATTCAACATTCACAACTTCATATTCCAATAATAAACTAAAATATCCTCAAGACGAAGCGAAACGTAGATGGATCCACTCCAAATAATAAGCACACTTTCATGAACCACTTTTGGGTTTGTATTGTGCCCTCAAAAGATCTACCACCCAACGTTCTAGCTTATGTACACATCAAACCTTAACACAATCCACCAAAAAGAAAAATCTCCAGAGTTTTAACTTGAAAGCACTTGATCCATCTGTAGAAGAACCCTGCAAGTGAAGCATGGCTTTCAGTTCAGATGATCCTGAGCTCGGTCAGAAACGTTGCGCAGAGGTCCATGAACAAAAACTGAGGGCCGTTAACTCTGAGTATATCAAGCAAGTAGTTGTCTTCCCGGGCTTTGTACAGCTGTTTCAAAACATGCACGAGAAAAACCCCGTATGAGAACCGTTACAGTCCTGTCCTGGACCAGAGTTCAGTCTTAGATCCTGGCTAAGTTGTAGTTCTAGACAGTTTTTACTCGAAAAACCCACCAAGAGAAACCCTATGGTTTTTCACATCAGCTCCAGTTTGATACCGAGAAAAGTTAAGACCATAGACCAGTTTATGTTCCTATGCCAGAACACAGATTTGGGTTTTCGCAGTATCTTGTAAAGTTTCTGACTTTCTTCTTTGGAAGCCATTACTGATTCATGGCATTTATAATTTTGAAGGTACCTGAAGCTCAAACTTGACAGCGTTTGGTGGTGTCACGGCAACTTCGTCCTCAATTATGCTGGATTCATCGTTAAAGAGGTGATTTTCATGCATCTGATTGTTGTTAGTGGCATGTTGGCCATCAGAGAAGCCGGGAACCCATCTGCATTTCAAGTTGTAGAGCCCGTTCTTCTTCCAATATATGTTCAGTTCTTGAAAAATGTTGAGAATCCTGTTCATAATTTCCCGAGGATGTTGCCGAGTCTGTCAAAAATACACGGGAGAAAGATTTATTCCAGCAAATCTTTGGGGGTTAAAAGATTAAATCTGGGGAGAAAAAAACTCATTCAGTAAGAAGATGATAATTTCCATAGGCTTGATTTTCCCAGAACTTGATGATTCTAGCAAGACAAACTAGACTACAGATAAAGCATTCTAACAAATGGAGGGCAAGATGCGAAATCGCTAAACTAACAAAGACCCAGGCTGCGAACTGACCTGAACTCCAATAGCCCATTTTCTATCGATCGGGATTTGTGATCTTGGAACCATTCCCTGGTGATCCACCATATTTGCGTGACTCCAGTGGCCAACTTGTGAAGCACTAGTTTCAATCGGACACATAGAATTGAAACCATCACCCTAGAAGAGTAATATCGATAAGGTAAAAAGTGCGTAGAGAAACCACGACCTAACCACATGGTGCATGGATGAAATTTTGAAATTTAAAAGTTGGAAAATACATTAGTTATATCCATTGAGAATTAAAAGTTTGAAATTTTCAACCATAAGGAGAAGGAAAGCAAGTACCTTTGTCTCCTGAAACTCGGATTCGAGGTAGGCACTAGGACTACGAAACCGACTGTCCAGCAATAAGTAGTATGTCACAGTAGCCTGGAACAAGCAGTAACGTAACAATGAGATGACCATTGAAAAGTACTTAAGCGATGAAGGGAGAGAGGGAGAGAGATCTCGAACCTCATTTTGTATCCGCTTGAGAAGAGATTCCACAGCCTGGTTTCTGTCAAATCCAATGTTGACAACTTCTTGAAGAACCTCCTCGTTAATCTGGAAAGGTAATAACATAAGTTGAGCAATCGCTATATGAATAACGGTATCTAGCTAAAGGTGATAAATGCAACCTTTTTGGCCTGCTCCATAGTATTAGGGGGAGGAACAGTAAGATACCGGGGAAGATGAATCTGGAACCAATGATGTTGACGGATCTCAGGGATAGTAATTCTTTTCACTGGGTCAACCACAAGCATCCTTGGTATCAAGTCTCTAGCATCAGGAGATAAATGGCTTGGCAGTGTGTATATCCCAGACTACCCACAACACAAGACATGTTTCTCAAATTCGATTTCCATAAAAATAAACCTAACCAGTGTAATATTTGATCGATTAAACTCACAAGACAAATCATTTTAACCCGATCAAAGCATAAAGTACATACCTTTATTTTTTTGAAAAGTTGAGGAATGTTTTCATCGTCGAATGGAAGAGTGCCACATAAAAGAGCATACAATATAACTCCACAACTCCATACATCTACTTCAGGTCCAGCATACAAGTTTCCTGAAATAACCTATAACAAGCAGTATCCATGATTAGTTTGAATCTTCAGATTGATAGTCATAAATCATAATCTGATATGAAGATTATCCAGACGAAGTACCTCGGGAGCAGCATAGTTAGGGCTTCCACAACTCGTCTTCAGAAAATGACCATCACGCATGATATTACTCAGCCCAAAGTCTGCAATCTTTACATTGAGCCTGGCATCCAAAAGCACATTCTCGGGCTTAAGGTCTCTGTGAACAACCATATTCCGGTGGCAATACTCCACGCCCGATATTATCTGCAACAATAGGATTTTCATCAATTTCAACACTTCCAAAGTAGACAGGATAGCCTAAAACACAATGACCACGGTGAAAGGAAGGCAAACCTGCTGGAAAAAGGTACGAGCCTCATCTTCCTGAATTCTACCTTTCTCCACAATATAGTCAAAGAGCTCTCCAGATTTGACGTACTCCATGACGACATAAATATCAGTAGCGGTCTCTATTACCTCATATTGACGTATGATATGAGGATGCATAAACATTCTCAGAATTTTGGTTTCTCTTCTCACTGTAAGGAAGAAGGAAACAAAAGGATCCAAGGGTCAATTTACTGAACAAAACCAAGAAAAAGCACCTATAGCAAATCTTACCCATTGGTTGCACAAGATTCATATGCGAAAAAAAAAAGAATTATTTAGTATAAGAACAGAATTCATTAGATATCAAGGACTGGATTCATAATTTCATATTATAGCTTCATTCCCAAAAGCCTAGCTAGAGCCTCAAGAAGGCAACACATACATACCTTTCTCTTCCATTTGCAGGTTCTTAATCTTACGGCGATTAAGGATTTTGACAGCAACCTTGTGCCCTGTAAGCACATGCTCTGCTACTTTCACCTTCCCGAAAGAGCCAATTCCAAGAGTTTTACCAAACTTGTAATTTGGTAGGACTGATTCCAACCCACGGCCAAATCTATCCGATGGCACATCCATATTACTATGGCCAAAAATATTATATCGAAGAAAGACACAGGAAGAGAAAACATGTGAAATTAGTGATACTACACCAGGAAGTAAGGAACAATCCATAAATTTTCAGCGCCAGTATCATCAGTGTGTACGAGCCAGAAAACCGAGAATCAAAGAATTTAAGCATTCCATACCAAATAAAAGTTACAGACTTTCCCTAAATGAAGACCGTGTCACAACAATTTCCAATCCAAGATCAGCCGTTTCACACAAAACTATCTAACCTACACTGAACTGAGCAGGAAATTCAGTAACATATATTTAAGTTCCAACTTACAACTTGCAATGGCAGGGTTCTAATTTGCATCAAAACCACAGAAGTTGTCACAAAATTTGCAGCTTTAATCATGAAAAAGGACAACCATCATTCCCATCCGTTCTACGCAGACATGCTACAAACTCCTTCAATTCCTCCAAATATTTTCCCCAACATCTCGAAGCTCAAGAATACAATTGCTACAGAACAGATTGCGCCGAACAGACAAAAACTACACACCTTAATTCTCCAAAGTCGAAGACAATCTAGTTTAGGAAGAAAGAAAGTCAAAATCCTAAAAAGGAAAAAAGAAAACCCAGTTCCCTATTCTCCACAAGATCCCAGAATCGAACAGAAGAACCCACCAAAACTAACGAAAACACAAACCAAACAAAGATAAACCCCAAGAATCCGACAGAGAGAGAGAGGTACAAGGAAACCGAGAATACAAGCGAAACCCTAGGAAATACAGATAGAGAGAGGGGGAGAGAGAGAGAGAGAGAGGAATCATACTCGAACTCCATGAAAAGGTGAGTTGAGTGGAATGGAATGATTTTTGGTCGGGAGGGAGGGAAGATGAGTTCTCCAGAGTCGAGTTCGGAGAGTCTTCAATGGATTTCAGCGATTGATTAAACACCCCCAGGAAAAGGAAACACACATTAAATACATTTCCCCTTCACTTTTATTTTTATTGGTTCATTAATAATAATTTATTAGAAAGATGTACGCACATGTATTTATAAACACAAAAAAATATATTTTTTAATCTTTTATTATAAATCTTATTTGATCTCTACTTTTGTTATTATATTAATATATTGACACAAACCTTTTTTTTATTAATATATTATAAAAATGTTGTTTTCAATTTGAAAAGTTTATCCTCAAGATATTATATTCTAACAGGTAATAGGTTTTTACTTTTTTTTTGGAAGTAAATAGGGTTTTGATAAAGAATCAAATCGTAATATTCCCAGGTTTATTTTCTTATTTTTGTAAATTTAGATCTTAATAAAATAAATATAACTTCATAGCTCCCATAAGAAACTCTATTTGCTATTTCTTTCAAAATTTTATTCTTCTTTTGTTGGCAAAAATAAAGGGAAAAGAGATATGACGTCAAGATAATTGCATATAAACTGATTAACGTAGTTAATTATATTATTATCTGTAAATTTTCAAAAGATAATCACCAAGTGCGTACAAAATTCTCTCTCTCCCTCTCCTCTGTCTTCTTTTTTTTTTTTTAATAAACAACATGGAGAGATAGAGAGAAAAGAACTGAGGGAGATTCAGCTTCCCTTTGTGTAGGAGGCTGTGCCCGGATCCGACATTTTCGGGCTTCACCCCACCCATCAAATTCGCCTCTCTTCCTCTCCGTTAGGGTTTCTTCTGGTTCTGGTTTTGTTTCTGCAACGACGACGAGGACAAGATCCTTCCTTTTTTTTTTCAGACACAAAAAAGGGACTTCCCTTTTTCATGTCCCTTTTTTCCAAGGTAATTTTTCTTGTTTTTTTTCCGCAGGGCAAAACAGAAAGATCAAACCTTTAGATCATCGATGTCTGGTGTTTTTCCTCAATGTCCAGGCTGTAATCCAGCTTGGGTTTTGTCTTGAATTTTGTAACATCGTCGATCATTGCATTTGATCTTTTTGTCCGTTTTCCGATTTTTTTTTTTTTGCTTCGAACGAAAATCTTAAAATTTTCCTCCTTTTGGATCTGTTCTGATCAATTGTTCGTAGGATCCATTATGATCTTTTAAGATGCCGAGCTGTTTTTTTTTTCCTGGGTAAATCTAGATTGCGTTTTCTCTCTCGTCTTGATGCATGTGTTATGCTTCTCAAATGCTCAGATCATATTCAGGAACAGGAGTTGGAAGGATATGCATGTGTTTTATATGTTGATTTCTAATTTGACATTTTTTTTTCGTTCTCTTTAATCTGAAAACACTGTTTATCTGTGCGATGTTGACACTTTTCGCCATATTTTTCTGTTCAAGTTTCTGGAAAGGTGGTTGTTGTCACATGAAGCTGAAAGCGATAGGCAGGCTTTTTTTTCTCTAGAATTTCTGGTTTCGGTCCCTTTCTCCTCTGTAATATATGTATGTATACATGCAATCAGGTTTTCATATATATATTCATAGTTTTTTTTTTCCTTACAAATCATTGCAATGCCATCGAAGATGCTATGATGTTTCTCGTACCAGAGTTTGGTCTGGAAGTTTAATCTTGTTTATCGTACTTGCTTGGTTTCTTTCACAGAAACAGTTTGGTAGAATCTGTAATGGAAATTTTCTGTTGTTTGATGATGTCCTGAGCTGTTCTTGCCGTTGCAAAAGATTCCTGTGAATGCTCAAGGAAACTCAAGACTATCATTTCTAGTCAAATTCTTCACATTGTTGTCTTTTGCTCGGAGAAAAACTTCTTCCTCTCTGAAACATTTCCTGGAAATTTCCCCATGTGGAGTTTGACCAGATAAAACCCTACGTGCCTCACTTTTTTAAGTCTTTTTTATTTTCAATAAATGGAAGTGTGACCCATCAACCATCCTTTGAACTGTTCTAGGATCCTTTGTTAAGTGTTTCTTGGGCATCTTTGAGCCGGCCGATATATTTTATGTTTGAGAGAATCATGTATAGACTCGGTATATTGAACGGTTTAGGCTGGACATGGCTGTCTCTATAGACAGAATTGGGCAATGATCTCTTAAAGTTTTAGTAAAACGGAAAATGAGAAATATTCTCTGAAATCTGTGCCTGTGGATGTTTGTATCAGGCTGGCTGAGATCTTATTTTGTTAATTTTCTGAAAGTTTCTGCTGTGATACTTACCTTACCTTCGTGTGTGGATCCTGCATTTGTATGTTGCTGTTGATATGTTTTTGGTGCATTGGCATTCCACTGTGTTGTTCTTTTCCATTGACGATGAAGCTGATGTATTTGCCTTGTGCAGGACCGCCGAAAGTAAATTGTAGAGATGGGTGCATGTGTTTCAACCCATTCAAGAAGAATTCGGCCTCATAGGAAGGGTCGTCATAGATCTTCCAAAAAGTTATCTAAGGTTTCCGATGTTGCCCCTCATTCAAACATGAGAAGGCCCAGTGATGCTGGGAGCCGTGTATCTTTTGGTGAGCTTCTCTACATTCGGCACATATATATTACATATTCCGCATATATATATTCTTATCAGAATAACAATAATTCTAAACGTGCTAAGCGCATGAGATAAAATTTTCGGTTATCAAAGAAGGATTGCAGAAACATAGAATGTCAATTGTGCATATTAGTACTGATCAATACTGATAGCACATTCCTCGTGTAACTTTTATATATAGAAGAAAACCCATGTAGTCTAATTTAATGGGCGAATAGTATTTGATTGCAAAATATTCACGAGTCTCCCCAACACCTAGAGAATTGTATTTTTCTGAGGCCGGTTGGAGACGAGTTGTCAATTTGATTGGTTCTAGTTTATGTGACAAAGATAGCTTGGGGACCTCGAGTTGATCCGTTTAATTCTTACTATTGCAGCAGTTTCCCAAGAAGATGCATGGTTTGACTCTGTCAGTATTCTTGATTCCGATTCAGATGATGACTTTATCAGCCTACATGAAGGTAAATCCCGAAATCCACACATTTTCACAATCCACATAGCTGTATACATAAACTGAATAACCATGGCAATCATGAAATGTTTTATCAAAGAACCATTTTGGAAAGCGTATATAATGTACATGTAGGTAACAACTAAACTACTACTTAGGTTTCTGGTATGCAATAGTGAGCAAGGATCTGAAATCTCTTCTTTTCTTACAGCTGATAATGTTGTCTCATCGGGTAACCACCCGAATGGACAAGTAGTTCAGTATGAAGCCTCTTCATGCATTGTGGATGGGAAGGGAAAGTACGAAGAGTACCATGAGACTTACTTGAAGATCGATGGTTCCAAAACCGACAAGTTTATGAGCAAAGGTGTAAATAAGGAACCTAATGGTTTGTCTGTTATCACTGGAAACAACAAGAAGAAACTATTGGACCAATCTTATGGAAGCTTCAAAGGTTTAAAGGAACAAAAACGAAACTCTCAAGAAAAAACCCTGAGATCCAGCTTGAGCCGGTTGATGCCCTCTGTTAGTTTCAACGACAAGACTGTAAACTCTCCCACTTCTCAGAAAAGAAGGTCGGCTGTTTACCGGCTTTCTTTTAAGAGGAGATCATGTGATGGAGAGGAAGTTACTGAGCATCGTAAGTTTCAGCCTTTTCACTGAACATTGCAGTTTATAGTTGACCCTGAATTTTATGAGTATTGTTGAACTGAACTCTTGATTCATTCGTTCATGTAAAAGGGTCATCTAAGAGATTACTGTACCGCCCGAAAGCTGGACTCGTGATTCCTTGTTCAGCGAGAGAGAAACAGTCTCGGGGAAGTTGGTGTGAGCTTCCACCTTCGACTTTTAAACTCCGTGGAGAATCCTATTTTAAGTATGTTTACTTACCCTTTTCTTAGGATTGACTTTTACCCATGATGAAGTTAACTGATGAACAATGGCTGTCTGCAGAGACAAGCGGAAGTCCCCTGCCCCGAACCACTGTCCTTACACTCCGATAGGCGTTGACTTGTTCGTCTGTCCGAGGAAGGTCGATCATATAGCCCAACACCTCGAGCTCCCCAACATCAAAGGCGAGACAAAGCTCCTCCCTTCTCTTCTAATCGTCAACATCCAGGTAAACTAACTGCTCAGTGCTCACCATTGACGGCTTCTCATCTTTGTTTTTCTGATGTTTTAGAGAAGTGGATAGGTAGGGAATAGAACTCTGCAATTCATGGTATTGTGGTATTCACATAATATCCGAGCAAAAACTAAATCGGGCTAAACAAATGTAAAATGTTTCAACTTTAGCCAGCTTAGATTAACCGGGAAAGGATCTATGTGTTTAGCGATCATTACCGTTGTGTGACTCATGAGCAGTTGCCAACGTATCCTGCGGCAATGTTCCTCGGGGATAGCGACGGAGAAGGAATGAGCCTCGTGCTTTACTTCAAACTACACGACAATTTTGAAAACGACGTCTCTCAGCAATTCCAAGACATCATCAAGGTAAGGTTGATATCTGTTAGATCGCGGAATTTCTAATGCTCACTCGCCTTGATCTTGATGTGCAACGGATGCTTATTTGATACAGAAACTGATCGATGATGAGATGGAAAAGGTGAAAGGGTTTGCAAAAGACAACACGGTAGCCTTCCGTGAAAGGCTCAAGATCGTAGCCGGGCTGGTTAATCCGGAGGATCTCAATCTAGGCTCGACCGAGAAGAAGCTTGTACAGGCTTACAACGAGAAACCCGTCCTTTCTCGCCCTCAACACAACTTCTTCAAGGTTAAAGCATGAAACTTTTTTTCGCCATTATCATCAAATCCCGATCCTTTTTCAACTGTTCTGTCACATGACATGATCTGTTTTGGTCTCTATGCAGGGTCCTAACTACTTCGAGATTGATTTGGATGTTCATCGGTTCAGTTACATATCACGAAAAGGGCTTGAAGCATTCAGAGACCGACTGAAAAATGGAGTTCTCGATCTCGCTTTGACCATCCAGGTAACAAAAACAGGGTCACCAATCTTTCTACAACAGATCATACAGAAAAATCGAAACTTTTTTTTTTTGAATCAAAGACAGTATCTTACACTTGGTTTGGGATATATATATATACATGGAACAGGCGCAAAAACCAGAAGAACTGCCGGAACAAGTTCTGTGTTGTCTGAGGCTGAGCAAGATCGATTTCGTTGACCACGGTCAAATCCCGACGCTGTTAACCCCAGACGACGGAGAAGGTCTCATGTAAAAGTACAACCTACCATTATTGTATTCTCAACAAATATCTCTAAACCCAAAAAAAAAAATCCAGACTTTCAAATCAAATCCTGAGACAAGAACAAGAAAAAGCTTGGCCTCATTTGTTGTTCATGAAATGCCCCCCCTTGTATTTTCTCTGCAAATTGGTAATAATGTGTTCTTCTTAGAATTACCATCTCCAAGATCTCTTCTTTTGTATATTTTTTTTTCCTCTGAAATCTCCATTGATCGTTTGTTTGAATCGTCAATTCATCAAAAACCCAGCATTTGCATTACTTGAAAGATTCAAAACCAAATTATCCACTGTGTTCTGATTGGCAAGATGAGGCTCCCTCGACCGGCATGCAATGGAAATTTCATGAAGGAAACAGTTCATACTTCATAGCTTTTTATAGACCCTGAATCTGAAATTTTGGACATACTTGGAAACAATAATGTTTTTTTAGCATTTGGGTCAGTACCAAAGTTGTAGATTTCTGTACATTTTGATCTGATAACATAATCTACTAATTCATTCCGATCCGAGGTCAGTCCTATGGTTTATTAAAAAAAATGAGAGAATTTCATGTTCATTTTTATTGTGTTGAATAAAAAAAATCAAGATGGTGTATTATACATTATGTTTTTGTTTTTTTTTCAATGAGCTTACCATTGAACAGAGAGGAAAGAACAAAAAAAAAAAAAGAGAGTTGGATAACAATTCTGTGCAACTGCTTACAAATAATGTTTCTAAAGACATTAAGCTCTCCGACCTCTGTAGTATAGTTTTGCATTCCCACCATATTGCATTACCCATTATCTGTCCTCTCGTTCTGCAAGAAAACCAAAGCCGGTTCATATTAGAACCGACTTGGTTATCACCCGATCTCTGGTTTTGTTCCCGGTTTATTGTTTTTTACCTCTTTCAAACTGCGATTTCTTAACGGCTCGTCGGATATGACTTTCATTTTTTTGCAAAAGCTCATCGATCTTGTTCGATTGGAAAACCAATGGTCCTGATATGCTCTGTACTCCCCAGTGTAATTGATCCTGAGCACAAAACCAGAATCATTCGGTTGAATTTCACTAACCGGAATCAGGAAACTGAACTGAATAGAGAACCGGGATCAAGAACACTTACCAAATCGTTATTTGGAGAGTCCTCTCTCTGGTCATTCAACAGGCCCTGGCTTAAATCCAGACCAGACCCATCAAGGGACCCGTGCCGTTCGGCGATCCGGCTCAACGGCTCGCTCGGGACCACCAATGCATGACCACCACGTCGAGCATGGTTACTACCATGCACCTCCCGTGAATACTCATCGTCATTCAGGGTTAACCCGAAAGTGTTCTTGGCGAAGGCGATACTGGTTCCACTCAACTGGCTTCTCGAGCTGGGCTGGTTGTAGGTCAGAGTAGAGACATTGTCGGTGTTTTTCCGTCGTTTTGTGGCCCATTCAAACCCACTGGCTGGCGCGGTGGTTTGTGAGAGGTTCGAGTAGAGGTAGTAGTCGGCTTGTGCCGTTGTGGCTGCCTCGGATGGCGTCTCATAGCAGGGTCTGTCTTGCTGCTGGGCTTCTCTTCCTCTGCTCTTTTGGGCATTCGGGTTTTCGTCTTGCGTCTCCTGCACATGCAAAAAGCTCGAAGCTTGAAGCTCGAGAAACCGAAACCGAGAAATGTACTGAAGAGTACAAAGACAGAGAAAGAGAGACTGACCTGCCTCGAAGGTTGTTTAGAGTGACTCTTTGATTCGTGCCCCGTTCTATGTGGTTTTCTATGTTTCCTGCTAACTCCAGGATCTCGCATCTTGATGCCTGCTTTTTTCCTGTACGAACACATTACCCTCGTGAATTTTCGATAAAAAACTACTTTCTGAGACAAAAGAGAAGTATTGGGCGGATATCTTGGCAAGGACGATGGATTGGCCGGGAGGTTAAAGACTAGATCTTTACCTCCGCAATTCCTCACGATGTTTAGCATCCATTTCTTTATTAGGTGGATATTTTGGCAAGGACGATGGGTCGCAAGCGTAAGGCTTCGTAAGAAAGTACTGAGCAAATATAGAAAACAAAGGTTGAAAACCATGGAAACTGAGAGATACAGCTCGGAAAATCTTGTGGGTAGGAAAAATTACCTCAGAATTAAGTGCTGAGGAGGCAGTCCCACGCTTCCCGGGTTCCATTGAGAGAAAAGTTTCAAACAAATTCAGAGCATTCACAGTGAAATCTCTGCATCGATCTCGAAGAGTGCTCTCGTAAGTACGCTGAGGCTTGAACATAGTTGCGTGCGGAAGCTTGCACTTCTTCCAGAATTCATCCGGCGGAGATCCACAGAGTTTGTATATCTTATGTAGCTGTTCGATCTGTAGACCGGAAAAAAGATTAAACCTTGAAGCTCTCGGATCTATTCAGGCATCAATTGAAGGTTAAAACCTGTTTATGCAATCTTGGATACTCGTGCTTTTTTCATTAAAAAAACATTGCATAACATATCAATGAGTGTTAATGGGTTACGACGGGAAACTTCCTTACCTCGGTTCTGCCTTTTAGGATAGGTTTTCCCATGAGGATTTCAGCGAAAACGCAGCCAACGCTCCATAAATCAACCGATACTCCATAACTCGTGGATCCCATCAGAAGCTCAGGAGCACGATACCACAATGTAACCACACGGCTTGTCAGTTGGTTCTTGTTTCTCGGTGTGATTATATTCGCCAGCCCGAAATCTCCCAGCTTCAAAATCCCTTCATTGTTTACCAAAATGTTCGATGCCTTGATATCCCGATGTATTATACCTCGTAAATGGCAATGCTCCAGTCCCAATAATAGCTGCTTCATATAACACTTGATCTGGTAATATAGAAATAAGAGATTGTCAAACTCCACTCGGTTTTCAAAGCAAAAAAAAAAGTGTAGGCTGAGGTTTATCTGTAAGGACAGAAAATCTGTAGCCCAGTCTAACTGAGAAACTGTACCTGTGGCTCGGTGAATTTTATGAGAGGGCTGGATGATAAACCGGCAAGATCGTGTTCCATATACTCAAAAACAAGGTATATGCTGGTGGACATTCTTGACGTGATTATGCCCTCCAGTTTCATGATGTTAGGATGGTCGAGTTTGCGCAGAATGAGAATCTCCCTTGCCATGAACCTGATGCTCTCCGGTTGAAAATTATCAAACTTTACCTTTTTCAGTGCCACCATTTTCCCTGTTTCCACTTCCCGTGCTCGGAACACGCTGCTGTATGTTCCTTGTCCAATCTGCATAAACAATTTATCGTCAACAAAACAAAAAAAAAACAATGTTGCTTGATATTTGCATATCATCCCGACCAGATTTAAGTCCGTTTGTACAGCACAGGTCTGCATAAACCCTTTTGATTGATGCCCAAACAAGAAAAGCAGAGCATTTAAAAGCTACGACCACAAGAAAACAAAACGACTATGAGTTAAAAAAAGAATGCAAATTTCCTTCGAGGTACCTTCTCCAACTTCTCGAACGCCTCTGCCCTGAGAGGGACCCACCCATAGACAGCCTCAGCGGCGGCAGAACAAAGCCAGGCAGGCCACCCAGCTGCGGCCTGCTCTGCCTCGATGTTCCTGTGGGACAATCCGGATTTCAGGCTCACACCAGTCTTCAGATCAGAACCACCCAATTTCTTGGGCTTTCTCGAACGCCGAATGTGGCTGTCTTTGTAATTCTCCTCCAATGAATGATCAACAACACGGTGGTGGTGTAGGCCTGATGTGTTCTTCGAGGTAAAGCCAGATGCCATGGCCATGGTGTTCTCTCTGTCGGGTGGTGAGCCATTTGGGTCACCCAGACAGGCAGCGCTCTTGGAGCTTATGCAACCCATTCTTCAGAAAATGGTTTCCGGAGGGGCTGAGACCACCGACTCTGATCCGGAAACAGGTCCAATATGGGGATTCAACCCCACATTAGACCAGAAAAACCAAATGGGTATGCAGGCAAAAGAACAAAGACAACCAAGAGAAATGAGGGAAAAAAGAAAAAAAATCACATGACAGAGATGTAAAAAAAGAAAAAAAAAACTTTTCTTTGTCTGTTGAGTCTTCTTCTGAAAGAGAGGCATGGGGAGGTTCCAATACACAACCGCTAAAACAGAAAGAGAGAGAGAGAGATTTGTGGGACCAAAAATGGAAGATCTTTTTCTTTTTCTTGTGTTTCAAAAATAAAAGAGAGAGAAAAATACGATATTTAGCCAATGGGGAGAGAAGGTCTGTCACCTTCACCATTTTCTCTCTGCTACAGAGAGGGAAACAGAGCTGTAGGTGATGGCCGGTAAAAAGCTTAAACAATTAAGGTGGATTTGTTAGTTAATCTATCAAAGTTGTTCATATGTCTCCACAAAACATCAGCTATCAAAATTTTTGGTAAAATCATCCCGACAAAACAATATTGAATATACTTCATATTATATACACACACGCATGTGTAGGTAGGTATATATTTATGTAGATATAGATGAGGTTAGATGGTGTGAGCTTTAATACTAAAGCTAATTAAAGCTTATATGATAATTGAAGGTCTAATGCACTAACTTTAAGGGTCTTCTTCAGTCAAAAGGAACTTTACTTAAATACATATCCAGCAGCAGAAAAGATTCTAGCAGCAAAAGAGAAAAAAAGAAAGAAAGAAAGAAACCGCATTCTTGCATTCCATTATTCTAGTTGCGTCAAGTTCATATATTTTTCCGCATAAATTATGTGACATAAAGAAGTTAGATATTTCATGTTGAAACAGGAAATTCACATAAGCAATTTTATAGTTGACATGAAATGTAATCAATTAAATTGATCCTCAGACGGCATACAATATTGTTTATTCAAGGAAAAAAATATATCAAGAACAGATTTGCAACAGTACAGAAATATCAGACAAAACAAGAACATACACAGCTAGAGGAAGAAGAAAACTTACAATTTGATCTCAGAAAAATAAGTGGAAGAGACAGCCAAGCCTTCCATGTCATATGTACGAACAAGTCTCTGTCTTGCGTCAGGTGATTCAAGCCAGCAGAATTCCAGGTGGAAGGATTTTGATTCAGCAACACTCTTTGCAATGTCACAGGGGCATCCCATGTACATTCCTCCCGGTAACAGCGTTATCTGGTATCCTTCCTCGAACATAACCAAGTTGTTGGATCTTGTGCCTGCCCATTGCACATTGGTTGTAACATCTCTCTCGCCCAATGTTGAAGAAATATCCTGTTTCACATTAAAGTTACAAGATCATCCAATATCAAAAGGGCAAACCGAAAGTGTCAATTACAATGTGAAAGTATAACATATAATATACCTGAACTAAATGACCCTTGTCATCCATTTCAAGTACAGAAATTGTATCGGCTTCAGTGATTGTTGCTCCATAGACACCGCTGCGTTTCGTCACTGAATGACCTTTCCATTTGCCAAGAAACGGGGTAATCCTTTCTGCATCATCCTGCAACAGAGAAAAGAGCAGAAACATTGAATGTCAGTCAAACTCATTCTTACCAGGGCATTCAAGAACTCCTGTTTTGTTCAGTTAAACATATGCCATAATATCTCTTTTTTAAGCATGTGTAACAGCAAAAACAATATATTACCTTAAAATTATCAAGGTCTGGATGAACGAGAATCCCCTCTCCTCTGTCTTCAAGGAAAACGAGAAGCATTTCCAGAGCACCTTTGGGATCCATGATGTGAAAGGCTCTTGCCCTTCGATCCATCCCCTGAGAATACAAGCAGTTTTCACATACCACAGAAGGCCGCCGGGATGGAAGCTTTAGAAATCTGAAAATAATACATCAGTGGATAAGCTTCATAAGTTCGTGATGGTCTGACCCATGATCCATTAATAATATAATGGAATAGCCATGAGAAGTTAACCTCGGTGATTCTTCTCCAGTATCGTCTTCCCCAAGCACACCCTGCCTCAGAACTGTCTCCAACATTCCAGCAGTTTGATACCTCAGCGAGAATGCCTTCTCGTTGGGGAAAAAACCAATCTGCGGACTAAATCATGATGGATATCACTTGAAAAAATGGCATGATAAACAAAGGCAAGATACTAGCAACTAAATCCGAACCAGACTCAAACTTCAAATCTTGAAGAGTTAGAAATAACTCACCTGCTGATATTTGTCCACTGTGAACATATTGGTCTCTTTTATTTTGTACTCTACCCATTCAGGTTCTTCCTCTTCTTCAGCTACGGAAGTGGTGGATGGCCGTTGCTTTATATATAAGCTATAGAACATAATGAGGTTTAGCCAAGAATACAAACTGGAATATGCAGACCCAAAACATTGCCTAACTGAACCTATCTTAAGCATTCAAAGAGTTTCACATGAAACAAAACAGATTTGGCCCAATATTGTCTAATACCATCCAACATATGTACACGCAAATCTCAAATAAGTTAAACGACATCTCAAGTTCATCAATTTCTAAAAGTTCATGGGACTAAAGCTAAGTGAACTCATAATCATACTTGTGTTAATTCAATCACAAGAAAAAAGCATTTATTCCTTGCAAAGTGCAAGCAATTCACGACCTTTTTTTTCCATATTTATCTCCCACAACTCAGTAAATCAAGAAACAAACGATAAAGACCATACGATTAAATGAGGCTAATGATTATCTCCAATAAAAGGCCATACGATTGAATGAGGCTGCTGAGCTCATCTTCTCCATATGAACTAACCGAAAGCCGCGTATCGATCTTATGCAACAACTTTCCATCGCCATCAAATTGCTGCAACCCAAAAGCAAAAAGGCGAAATTTCTCAACAAATCCAACAAAAACTGGAGCCGGAACTGACAAATCACCAGACAAACTAAAACCCAGAATCAAGATTAGGGTTTCTCATACATGAAAGGAACCAGTCCATCTTCCGATGTTAAGATCGATGAACCGGTGCAAATTGTCGATGCTCATCGCTTCATCGGCCGTTCTCCGGTCGTCTTCTCGGACCGCCGTCGGTCTAATCACCGAGCTCCGACCTCCATGGACAGTGCTGCGAAGCGGATTCAGGTCAAGGAATCTGAATCCTCTGGGTACTCGGGTCGGATTCGGAGATTTGATTAGTGGAAGGTGAGGGAGTGAGCAAGTGACCGAAGAAGCAGCCATGGAGGGAAAAACACAAAACACTTGGATCATGTGAAGCGTATTGTATCTTATATTCTTATCGTCAAACGAGTTCCATTTCTAGAGTCGCACTGTGTGTCGTTTTCTGGATCATTTCCCCATATGTATTATCCAGAAAGACGGCGTGCAGTTCTAGTAATTTGAGCAGAGAAGGCATGACAAAATCACACAATTTGATAGAAAATTGCACGCCCAAATTATTAAGAAACCAGAATCCATTAATCACACTATTATTAACAATAAGTGTGCCTTTTCATAATATTATATTTTAAAAACCCTAAAATAATCTCTTTAAAGGTTATTAAAGATTTAATACGTGATATACAGCATATAAGAATTAATAATCCATATATAATTGCTATAAAAAACGTATATACAAAGTTATGAGTTCTGTTTTTTTACTCAAATCTCCTATATATAAGGGTAAAGTAAACCACATGTAACCGGTTTAGCCCGGGATGATCAAACCGGATTACAATTCAAAACAATGTGCATAAAACGACGAGATTTTTGCATTCAAAGCTTCAATATTTTATTACCGGAGACACTCTGAATCCGTACTTCAGTTCAGTCGAGTCTTCTGAGCAAGTACTCTACTTGAACCTCCTTTGTCAGGGGCATGATCCAGTCTCCGTACAAGTCGGCGACCAAGCTGGGGCTGATTTTGTAAACCTGAGATTCTCTCTCTTCCTCTTCCTCCATGGCTTCCAGCTTCACTTCTTGCCCGTATGTCCGAGCTTTCATGGCTACTCTCATCTTGATCGCCTCCTCCACTGTCGGGAAAGTGAGCATTTCCATCAGTCTATCCCTGTCCTGAAACGTTTCGAGTTGCAATAAAGATGAGAGGAAGTTAATGAAACATTCTCTGATATGAAGTTTTGTTCTGTCCGAGGAGAAAGACAAGAACTTTCAGTCGGTTAAGATCTGGGTCTGGTCTCCTTCTAGAAGCTAAGGCTAAAGAGAAAAGAAAAAGAATCCTACTTGTGCTTTTATGGCGAACTCGTAAGCTTCTGGCGAGGCACGAAATTTGGCCTCTGCCACGAATTTCCCGTAATGGATCCTCTTTGAGAGAACCTGGAAGACATTGATAAGTTCATGACCTCTCGAGCAATTTATGATCAGGACATCAATCAAAAGCCTTGCTTTTTGTTGCGAGTATCCGAACCCAAAGCAGAAAAAGCTGTTACCTGAACACATATCGTGTCACAAACAGCTGTTGATCCGTAATTCCCGTCATCCCCTTTCTTCACTAGCCGTGGGACGAGGTCTCGGAAGTACATATTCCACACCTTCTTGTTTAAGTTGATCGGATCAGAGGCAGAGTGCAACACCTATTACGGAAATATGTGACCCATTACTGTTAGCATTAATCTCAGGGGAGTGACGCAATGGCTGAAACCACAGCTAACTGTTACTAATCATTGATTGAAACAAGGAAACAAAAAAGGATTTTGACCCAGAAATTGATTCTGGATAATCAGATTCCAAGATTATTCATTCAATTCTACATCCAGTATTAGTCAAACACACAAGCGATAAGCATGAAGAGCCGAGAGAATGCACCTTTGGGTACTGCAGAGGTGGCAATATAGGCTCTGGCAGTTCATCAGGGAAGAAGGGATGCTCATCAGGGCTCTTGTACCTCCCAACCTAATCATTCACCAAAAGAAAACCATTTCTATCCGTCAGAACAATCCGAGAATAGGGTTTTTTCGAGATTACGATTTCGTTCTAATTATCTTGAGATATATGCACCTTAGCGTGAAGCATTTCGGTTCCTTTCACCATGTATTCAACCAGAGAGCCGTGGAAACCGTCCATGTCAAAAGCATTAGGGTCGTAAGTATCGGCATTGTAACAGTACTTAGCTCTCTCCAAGAGGCTGAATATAATGCTGTCCTCTTGCCGTATCAAAGAGTTACGGATGCCCTCGAGGGTAAAGCTCTCACTCTCATCCACACGACTCTTTCCTGCCAATGATCTGTATTGACAACAACAGCATCAGAAATGGAGGCTCAATACAAATCTATATATCTTTTTAACGTTACCATTGCATCACAGCTACGAGGAAGAAGAATTTCGATGTGACAATTGCAAACTTAGGAAATCCAACATTCTACAGCTGACGCAACATAGTTTACTCATGCCAAAGAATTTCGACGAACTCTTTACACATGTAGTCTTGTCAAAAGTTTCAACAGCTTTTCAACTCCACAGAGATTTTTTCAAGAAAATTTTGGGTGGGGGATTTTCCGTACAACCTAAGCGCAAAGAAGATACGGAGAAGCAGCGTGAACTATCGCTGTCGTGTGTAGAACCAAAGGTTTGAATTCTGACAGAGACATATAAATTTAGAAAATTTTAAGCCAAAAGCGTCGAAATTTAGACAAACCCTAAATTCAAAACGAAAAACTTAATCGAGTTCCGAACGACGTAACTCGAGAAATCTACAAAATTTAGCAAGTAAGGGTCGTCGTAATTCATACCCAGCGAGGGTCATGGCGGCGTGAGCAGACCGGAAACCACCACGCGCCTTACGCGGGAGAGAACAACGCACAGCGGACTTAAAGTTCCGACCTTTCAATGTCCGGAGAAGGACAGGACAAAAGGGTCTCGAGAACTCGCGATCCTCTAGAAACCCAATTGCCGAAGGGGAAGAACAAGAGGGACACGATCTCAACAATGACGCCTCCATTGTTAAACCAGAGGCGGAGATAAACAAGAAACGGAGATTTTAGACAAAGAGAGAGAGTACCGATGAAAGAGGCAAAACGAAGGAGAAGATGAGAAAACCAGAAAAAAAGACGCACCCACACTTGCAGAGGAAAGGGTTTACATTTGTAGGAGGGAAATGATAGTGGTAGGAGAAGAGGAAACCGTGGCCCACAGATACGCTATCCGGTTTGGTTTCGGTTTACTAGATTTTAGATTTGGTTTCCGGTTTAGTTAAATAATCAATTGAATTGTATACCAACATTTTAGGCCTATGTTTTGAATTGAACGGGTTTAAGTTTATGTTCAGATAACCGTTATGGTTTTAGAGTTTTAGCTTTGTTTTTTCATAAAAAAAAAAAAGAAAAAATCCGTTAAAAAACTAGTTATATAGATTTAAAATTCAACTTTTAGATGATAAAAATATAGAAAAAGTTTGAAGTTTTTAATAGCTGCCAAACCAAAAACTAAAAAATAATTAAAAAAATCATTCTCACTCATTCGAGACTTTAAGTTAAATTATTTTATATTCAATAAATACTACGAATAGATTATGGTTTGATTCCGGTTTTATATGGTTTGAGAAATATCGGTCCGGTTCGGTTATATGGTCGTGGTTAAAGTATTAGGTGGCTTGAGGTCGGAGACCAAGGTTAGGTGAAAAAAGAGTAGACAAGAGCATGCCACGGAAGGCAGATTTGAGAGAACACTCTTTGACACAAGTTGTTGGGTTATGGAATTATTATTATTATTATTATTATTATTATTATTATTATTATTCAAAAAGCCAACAACTTTTTATTACACGTCACCATGGCGACATCATCTTGGCGTTGGTAATCTAATCTATGTTAAAAAACCAAGGGCTTAGAAGCTTGTAGGATATGGTAATGTTTTTTTTAGTAAACTAAAAACTTAATCTGGTTTGTTAAGAAAGATAGACTATATTTATTATAACAGAATCTTAACCTGATTTATTAAGTTTTGATAACAGATGTTTAGAATCTTAATAATAATATAATAATCAATTTTGATTGGGTAATGTTATAAATTTTTTATTTAAATTAATAAGAAAACATTTTTTTGTTGTTCTCATTGGTTATTTTTTTTCTCTTTTTCAGTTGACCGGAATTTTTTTTGGAAATATCCTTATTTAGGTTTGGCATTATCAAAGTATTAAATATGAAAATTTAATCATTTTAAAGATATTTGTTTTTCTACACTCATTAAACATTCCATTGAATTTACAACCAAATCAATCAATATATTATAATAGCGAAAACGAATTTCTCATCATTTTTTTACAAGGAAAATGTATCACATTAATACAAAAATAAAATAAAAATAATATTTGCACGAAATGTCTAAATCTCAACCTACCACCACCAAGTCACCAACCCCGGTCCCATTTTATTTATTTCGTACGTGCACCTTCTTCTCTCTTTTTTTTTGCTTGATATATATATATATATATTTTTTTGCTTTTTAATTATCCCACAACCCTCTCATTTATTATTTTTATTTTATTTTATTGTACTTTTATAAAATGGTTATAACATAATAAGTATATTGATTCTTAAAATTGTACCATATATATTTTTTTTATAAAATGTATTTGAGCAAAATTCCCACCTAAAAATAATGCAGGAAAAGAGAGGACCACATAGAATGCACTTTGTGATCTTACTCCCTCCCAGTTTATGTGGTTGTAGATGATTTGGGACCATTTGATTCATGATGCCTAATTACAATTCAGTTCTAATGTCTTGTCCTAAGGATGATCCCAATTAATCTTTATCCAAATTAGAGCTTGTAACTAGCAATCCCGCCAACTAATTAGGCCTAATTATAATTGTTTTTTCAAATGGTGGACAATTTGCTTCATGATGGGGCCAGTGCTAGATGCAATTTTTGGTTTTGTGTGAACCGGTTTAATTACGAAAGGCCAACAATGGCTGGCCAAGAACACGACACATCATCCACAAGAGAGATGAAATGAATAAGCCCTTATCCCATATCCCAAAAAGGTAACGCCACGAAACTCTTTCCAACACTCATT